ATCAGCAACATGTATAGTGTAAATAGTATACTATTTTATAAATTACTTTAGGCCTTCCTTATCTCATTTTTCCAAATAATTTAAGTACAATTTCATAAGTGAAAAAATATATTTTGAAGCAAAACAAGACAATTCTCAATAATTGCCTCTATGCTGAATCTATTGAAATGGAAGAGGAACCCTAGGAAAATGATATCTCATGTTAAACCATAATATTATACCATTAAGGATAATAGACTGATTCAAAATCCATCTTCAAGTGTAATATCATGCTAAGGCAAGTCTTGGTTTGTGTGTATATGTGCTTTCATATCTGTCTTGACTACTGGCCACCACATAAACAAGTCCCTGCAGTTTTATTGACATGTTTTTTTCAGAAGTGGTTAACTATTGTCTTCTTCCTAGTTCTGAGAGGCAGTGACTGGCTCAGTGTCATCCAGTTGGTCTATAACTCACCGTCTCCTGGTTTCTAGCTCAATTGGTGTTCATATTTCTTTGACCATTTTTTAACATAAAGATTTGATAAATGTTGCGCATATCTGCACTTAGCTTGTTTCCAGTACAGATCATCCACCTCTTCTGAACTGCAAGAATGGAGGGAGCTCATTCTCCTCCCACTCCTACCCCATCGCAAAAGCAGTTCCAATCCATCATTTTTAAGTATGGCAATGGAGGTGTATAGTGTGCCTTGAGAAGCTCTGGTGTGATTATGCTGTGTTATGTTATGTGCTTAGGTTGGAAGATTTGAAAATGGGGTGGTACAGGTGAGTAGACAGCATGGGTAGTTTGAGAGACTGAGAGAGCAGAGGTGAGACTGAGAGCCTTGAAACATCTGCAAGAGAAATTGATTAAAGATGCTTTAATTGGTTCACAGACACAGTTCCTTGAAGCAATGTTGGTAAAATGTTAAATCAATCAATCAATATAAATGAATGAAATTAAAAGAGAAATGAGGGGATTATATAATGTTAAAGAAGGCTGGGACAGGCCATCTTCAAAGAAAAGCAAAGACAGGGGACTAGTGAGAGGAGGCATTCTCTAAAAGAAAACAGAAGACATAGGAAATCCAATCCATACAATGGCATTTCATCACACTTCACCTCCCTGCATTGTTGGGAAAGTCAAGAAGCAGTAGAAGAACCAATCAAATCTTGCATTGCCCTTTGTTTGGACTCAGTACTGATCCAATCCTGTATCCAAACCACAACAATTCAGGTTGCAATTTCTGAAAGCAGCTTTTAAAATAGCCAGGATCAGAACTGGAGATAAGAAATTTAGTTTGCTAGGCTGTATTTATTTATTTGCCAGCCAGCCAGCCAGCCAGCCATTTCACTTAAGGAAACTCTGAGTGGAGGACAAAAATAGGTACTCAAAAACTTCCAAAGAAGTGGCCCTGAAGACCAGCTTTATGGAATGAGAATATGGCAATGATTGAACTGTTATGAGAACAAAGTTGGTGAGGGCAGCAGGTCTTCAGTTGATGGATATTTGTCGTCCTGATTTCTAGAGGTATGGAGCTGAAACTCCCATATAGTGCTCCCTTCCCCCCTCCCAATTGTGTGAGGGGGAATCGTGGAGAAGATCTGAGTATAACATTGCTAGAAATATCAGAGTTGTGACAACTGAATAAATAAACGTAAGGATCCTCTTTAAATTTGTTGCAGCATCAATACCTTGAATCAGCAAACCGAGAGTTGGTAGATAGTATTTTCTATTAAAATAAGATTGTTTCTTGGCTGAGTATATTTTTATGCTTTTGCTATTTTTCCCCTTCCCCAGTATCCATAGCAGATAGCTGAGAACGCTTCACTTTCTAGCCATATGTATTGGATTGGGAAATGCAGGGCACGAGTGAGAAAACATAACAAAACTAGGCTTAACAGGGTTGTTGGCCCATCATCAGATACCCTATTTTAAAACTTGTAAGTATCACAATTAGGCTTTGCGCCAAGCCCATTCCCTTTGTGAATTCAGACTTCTGTACCACTCAATAGGAATCTGTTAATGACTACAAAGATCCACAGCTGTTTACAGTTTTAGGCTCAGTGGTGGACTAGGCAATGTGCTTGTTCCAGCATGGAAAGTGTTGGGCTGTCATGGCAAGCAGAGGCATCATGATAAAATTTTCTTTGCGGAAGAAGGTGAATGGTGCAAGTTGGGTCCAGGAATGTATTCATTTAGTTTTATGGTATATCTTTTCCCAGCCACTTGTACTGGAAAAACAGAATGAGAATGAGGTCTATTTTAAATATATGTATACACATATACAGAAAGAAATCTGTAAAACAGTGTTGAGACAGTGTTTGCAAATTCATGAGTTTGCATGTTCTTGTACAGTAAATGCACAATAAACCCTTATGTACTACCTGTCCATTTGTGGTTATAAGTTGTGACAGTTATAAAGTGAGCCATCGCAACATTTTTACAACCTTCCTTTTTTGTGGCGGTCGTTAACAAATCACCATGGTTGTTAAGTGAATCCATGCATGTTAAGAGAATGCTAACAGAACCCATTCTTTTCTATGGGGCATTTTTGCCCAAAAACTGGAAGTACATACCAGTTTACTGCACTAATGTTGTAAATTGTGGTCACATGACCATGGATGAGGCAAATGACTGTAAAAGTTCCCAAAATGTGGTCACGTGATCATGGGTGATGGAGCCCAGCCATCAGAACATTTGGGTGGTCTGTCGTAAATCTGAGCAATTGTTAAGAAACCAATAATAAGCTGAAAACTACCTGTAATGATTTATGAAGGGAGAGAAATGAAGTGTCAATTAGAACTAAAGTCGCTTAAACAACAAATAGAATGGTTGAGCCCTCAAAGATACTCATATACTACATGAGAAGTCTATGGAGATTCTCAGTCATCCAAGTCATGGATGTCCCAAAGATGCTTTTTCAAGAGGCACCTGGACTTTCTGGTTTTTCTTTGAAGACGTTTTGCTTCTCATCCAAGAAGCTGAAGACGCTTCTTGGATGAGAAAGTCCAGGTGCCTCTTGAAAAAGCACCTTTGGGACTTATGTGATAGTTACTGATAGTCATCTGTATTGATAGTCACCTGCAGACATTTTGCATTTCAGTGAGGATGACATTGGGCAACTCCATGACTGGCTGATGCCATTTTCATCTCCCCCTCCCCCTTTCAGCTTTTTTCCTGGAGACATTTAGATTATTCAATAATATACTTCCTGACATTATGTTTTGTTTTATGAATATGTGCTTTTTTTTTTTACCTCTGTTGTATCATAAATGTGTGCAATGAACACTCTTGATTTTATTTTGTAACCAAGTCTGTTTAAACTGCACTTAATTTATTCTTTCTTCACTGCTCATATTTAAATCATATTTAAGCCATGTGTTTATAAACACTACCCCATATACAAACAGTTGTGATTGCCAATTCACGCAGAACTCAAACTGAAGTATCTCAGTAACATACCTGCTTTTTAAAAAGAAACAGCAAACACTTTCCAGAGCAAAGCCCATTATTGCCTGAAATTCAGATTTTCTCTGTTGTATGCAAAGTCTGCTGAATCATGATCCATGAAATTAAGAGTTTATTGTATTTTCATGAGAAATCCTCAAATGCTTACAGTTCCCCGTTAAATGTACATTTTATTTAGCTATAGGAATGCTTTCATACCTCTTCAGTTGCCAATCTAAGTGGCTTGCAAGCATAATGTTCAATATATAACAATACAACAAAATTACAATTATCAAAATAATATAAAAATAAAAGTTAAGTTGATAAGTATTGTATATCATAAAATCATACTGCCTTATATGATAAAAATACACAACTTTATATCAAATACAGGATCTCTTTATCCATTTTGACCACTGATACCTTAAAGTCTGATCGTCCCTCATATTTGATGACCAACCCTTTACTGAACAGTTCTTTGATGGTTTTTCTTCCATTCTAGAACCTGCAGATTTTCAATAACCAAACTGTCTAAAGCCAACAAAATTTGCTAGTCATCTTCTTAATCTGTTTCCAAAACTCTCATACCACCCCCTTCCTTCCAATTCCTTTAACTTTCTCTTCAGACCACTGTCAAAAACCTCCTGTTTAAGGCTGCTATGGTTTAGCCAAGGACATTCTTACCAATTAATGTGACATCAGTCAGGTTTATGCCACCAACTGAATTACTGTGGACCCAGGAATCAAAATTCAGAGAAACAAACACTTTTTCATATATATCTTATACTATGACAATTGGGCTTGCATCAGTGGTGGGTTTCAAAATTTTTTACTACCGGTTCTGTGGGTGTGGCTTCGTGGGCATGGCTTCGTGGGCGTGGCAGGGGAAGGATACTGTAAAATCTCCATTCCCACCCCACTCCAGGGGAAGGTTATTGCAAAATTCCATTTCCTCCCAATCAGCTGGGACTTGGGAGGCAGAGAATAGATGGGGGTGGGGCCAGTCAGAATTTTTACTACCAGTTCTCCAAACTATTCAAAATTTCCATTACTGGTTCTCCAGAACTGGTCAGAACCTGCTGAAACCCACCTCTGGCTTGCACAAAACCAATGATTTTGCTCTCTAGAATGTGCACCATGGTAGCATAGATAGCAGCAATGATTCAGCCTAGTAAGAACTTTTTTTCTGAAGGATAATACTCTTTCCTATCCCCACTATTTTCACTTGCTATTGATACCAATTCCTCAGTACATATGCACTGTTTCAGGAAGTCTTTATAACCAGATCACATAATGGTAGCTTTGCTGGAGCGTTTTGCTAGGTTTTACTATGATTGTCCAGAGCAAAATACTTTCAGTTTACTCAGGCTATTCATTTTTGCTGAAAAGGAGCTGTATCAACTTTAGGGCTGAGAAGCTCCAAAGAATTTCAGAAGAAAGAAGTAAATTTAAAGTTGCCTTCTGTGAAACTAAATGAGAGCAAGTCTGTCCCTCAAAATCATAATTCAAAGGCAAACCAGAGTTTGAGAAATATTTTTAGGCATCCGTAGCAGAAAAAGAACAGAAAAGACTCATAGGCTCATTCAGCACTTTATTAGAAATTGTGTATATCTGGATAAATAAAATAACAGTACAGTACAGAGTTTAAACACTTTCATCTTAATCATTATTGTGTCTACAATCTCTGTTCGTTCTGTTATCTTGTCAGTTTTGTGCCTGTCACCTTCCCTCGTCTCTGTTGTTTCTCCTCTGTTGCCAATTTTAAAGTGTGAGTTTTTCCTCTGTAAAACAATTTGGTCCTTGATGCTGAGCTAAATAACACTGGTTTCTATGAAAAATGAAAATAAAGGATTAATAACTGGAGAAAATTATTTATGTGAATCAAGCTAACACCAAAAGTGCACTCTTCGGGAAAAAAATAGTTAAAAAGCCAAGTTTAATCTGGGCTTGAAATTCATGGGAATCAGTGCCTAAGATTTCCTTGAGAACTTTTATTTACTTACTTATTCCCCTTTATATTACCATAATCCATACTGACTCCTTGTGGTTTATGTCAATAAAACATAATACATACACCAAAGAATAACATAAAATCAAAGAATAAAATAATGAAGTGCAAAATGCAACAAGCTCAGATGGTGACACTTCTTTTTCTCCTAATGGCTTCCAGAATAATTTCATCTTCAACATTTTCAGAATGGCAACAAGGATGGTGCTAGCCTGCCTTTCAGAGGGAGGTGATTCTAAAGTACAGGGCCACAAATGAAAAATATTAAGGGTCACTTCTCCCTTCACTTTATGAGGTGAGCCAGGCATAGCTAGTTATGCTAGTTAAGACACTACTGCAAGTGCTGTACTTGTTACATGCTGACCTCGGGTGTAATCAAGGTTCTCACCTTTAAAACCCCTCAAGGCTTTAGACCAGTGGTGGAATTCAAATTTTTTTACTACTGGTTCTTTGGGCATGGCTTGGTGGGCATTGTATGGCTTGGTGGGCGGGACAGGAGAAAGATACTGCAAAATCTCAATTCCCACCCCACTCCAGGGGAAGGATACTGCAAAATCTCCATTCCCACCCCACTCCAGGGGAAGAATGCTGCAAAATGTCCATTCCCACCCCACTCTGGGGCCAGCCAGAGGTGGTATTTGCCGGTTCTCTGAACTACTCAAAATTTCCGCTACCAGTTTTCCAGAACCTGTGAGGACCTGCTGAATAGCACCCTTGCTTTGGACCTCCAGAAACACAGCCAGCAGTACCTGACTATTCAATCTAGAAGGAAAGGTTCTCTGGGGGTTCCAGTGCTAAGGGAGTGTCATTATCAGCAGCTTGTGAAGTTGGGGCTTCTCTGTTGCTCCTGCCTTACATTTAAATCTATTGTCACAAACAGGCAGGAGTACAATTCAGAAAACTATAGATCTGCTATCCATACTAGTCAAAGTCCTTGAAAGGATCATTGTATGAGCAACATGGTTTTGTAGAAATTTGTATAAGCATCCTGTTATTAACAAAGGCCAACATGGCTTGTCAAAAGCAAATTGTGGCACACTAAACTTATCTTCTTTCTTGCTTAGTTGATCAGGAGAATACTGCACAGGTAATGTGCCTGGACAACAGCAAAGCCAAATGCCTTATGATATTCTCCTTAATACAATGATAAAATGTTGGCTAGTTTATTCTACTGTTAGATTGATACACAATTGGCTGAATACCTCAGCTACGAAAGAACATCTACTTGTGAGCAATCACATTGAAAGCCTGCTACTTCCTGATTTTAGCAGTTGACCAGAAACTCATTGGAACTGTCTGGCAGACTGATGGCAAACTGCCAAGTATGGACTACCCTATTAGGTCCATCTACACTGTAGGAAGAATGGGCTAATAAAAGTCTCAGCTGGACCAAGAAGTGGTTGGATCATGACTAAGAGCTCAGTTTAATGTCCTTCATACCTAGATCATGCATTACCTGCTATGAAGCAAAAACAATCTTTAATCTGTGTATGCTGGGCCAGATTTTCTTGGGAAAAGCCCATAAATTTTATGGAGGACAGAAATTAATGAGCCCTGGAGATTTTCTAAAAAATCAGAATCAGATGTCTGTTTAGCAGTCAGTCGCAGAACTTACTGCCTGCCTGCCTGCCTGCCTGCCTGCCTGCCTGCCTGCCTGCTTTCTTTTCCTCCCTCCCTCCCTTCCTTTTATATATTATATATACTTTATATAATATTTTAAGAACTTTCTACTATGATACATTCATATAAACTCATTAATCAAGATTATTCAAAACAAAGGGAAAATTAAAATTCCTTAAAAATTATTCCTTCCTTAAAAATTATCATCCTGATATCTTACAAATAAAATCTTTCTCATTAATCCTTAATATTTTCTCTGTTTTGTTTTTTCAAATAAGTGTTAGACATATCAAAAATATTCTATATCTTAAACGTTGTCATGTCAAATACTTAATTTTCATCTAATAGCTAAACATTTTTCCCAAGGTCAAAATGTTCCATTAATAAACACAACTTTAGTAGAAACCATTTCTTCAAATGGAGATATCATAGAATTTGTTTATTATTGTGATAATTTGGTCAATGTATAAAAAGATGACAAAAATGATAATGCAGGCTGCAGTTTAGACATGTCCATGGATCTGATGTATTATTTACCATCTGGATTTATGATAATTGACCTTTTAATATTGCAATCAACTTACTATTGGGACTTCACAGTCTGATCCCCTATAGTGAAGATTAGCATTACAGTAGTAATTAATGGAAATTATTTGAACTCGGTCAAATGATTTTGAAACTAATTCATTGTTTTACCTGGGAGAATTGTTGAATGAAATAAAACAGCTTCTGTGGAGTCCTTGATACTCTTTGATTGCTTGCTTATAGATGTTCCCTTACTTGTCTAGGTAACATCACCAGTGTTAATGAATGTGGGGTTTGGTCCCAATTTTTATACAGCAACCAGGCCCTGACAATGTTGGTAGATGTGTGGTTTTCTCCTAAATAGTTCCTTGATTAGGGTATTGTTTTCTGCTTGGTTGTCTGGTATTAATCCTTGCTTATCTGGGCTGCTGGAAAGGTTGGGTTCCGTAGTGTTTTTGGATTTAACTTGATCTAGGATACTCACACTCTCCCAATTGAAACTATGGTTGAGTCTGTCCATGTGTTGGGAGTTTAAGGAGTTTTCATTGTGATTGCTTCTGACTGCTAGTTGATGCTCATGGGTGCATCTTTTGCCTTTCTGTCCTACATAATGGTTGTCAGAATCCTTATGCTTTATGTTGTAAATAACTCCTCCTTTTTTCTTCTTAGGCTACTGTCAGGTCCCAAGAATCAAGAACAACCTGTGCAGTTATTTCTGAGTAGTTTCTTATTTTTATATACTTACAGACACAATCTTGACAGACTAAAGCAAATATCTGCATAACTATAGATATATTCTGCGAACTGCTAGGGAGAAATCATCTTAGCTTTCTTCCTGTCACCTATTAGACTTTCCAAGCTTCTCTGTCTTTTTGCTCTCTGGGAAGCAGCCCCTCCCTCCTGGGACTCCAGATTATATTCCATCATATCCCTGGGTCTTTTGGTGTACTTGTTTAGTTGGTTTGTATGGCAACACTGTGTGATTGTCTTTGTCTGTTGGTTGTTTCTGAGATAGTTTTGATGTATGGTAGTGTTATCCTTTTCATAGCATGTGTTGGTTGTTCTATAGTGGACTGAATGGTTAGGCACATTTAGATAAAGATTTGTGGGTATCCATTTTGTTGGAAGATGTTGTAGAGGTGGTCTGTTCTAAATCAGATGCCTCTTCCTAAGGAGAATTGGTACACAATTTGGAGGTCTTCCTGGACTCACAGATCCTGCTTGAAGGGCAGGCGGCAGCTGTGGCCAGGAAGGTCTTTAATAAATGCATCCTTTCCTGGACCAGGAAAGGTTTTCGTGGTTATTCATGCCCTAGTCATTTCTCAGGTAAACATAGAAATCTAGATAGATGATAAATGGATGATAGATAGATGATGGATGGATGGATGGATGGATGGATGGGTGGGTGGGTGGGTGGGTGGACAATCAGTCAGTCAGTCAGTAATGGAAGGGTAGTTGTGAAAACATACTCTGAGCCTTCCCATGAATCTTTAAGGAACATTGAATAATGAAATCCCAAACAAAATGAGTATTTGACCAACTTGTTTGAACATGTATTACCATTTCAAAAACAAGTCAGAATTACGTGTTTTTGTGTATGAAGTCAGTTTGCAATTCTTTCATACATTCTTTCTTTAGTATTTCTCTGGTGTAAAATGAAAAGGTAGATGCTTTTGCAGAAAAACAAAGGATTTCCCTCTCCTTTAAAGTATGCAAAAGCCCCTTGAGCATTTCTTTTATGAATTGGCCCCCCTTTTTTGCATAGCTCCAACTATTCTTGCTTTATTACAATAGCATATTATGGCTCAGACATTTTTTTGTCACTCATTCATAGCCCCCTAGAGAAAGATGCTTCAGTAAGCAAGAAGAACTCACTAAACTTACTATAGAATCAGTGGAATACTTTTTTAAAAAAGTGCATAAACTTCTGTTCTTAAACATTGTCATTCTTCACCTTAACAAGCACAGAAAAAAAGAGGTTCCACTGCTTTCTCTGCCTTGTTAGGTCTATCATCTTTTTAATTAATAGTATTTTTACGCAGCCGTCTGAACTGTGTCATTTCCATTATCAGGAAACCACTGCCATTAATGAATAATTTTCATTTCTGATCTTTGATATCATGCTAGTTGATCTTCTGTTTCCATGCTGACGAATGATAGCATCGTTTTCTGCCCACGATCAAATTTAATTTGGACTCTGATTATATTATGCTGTTGCGACTGAAGTGTCAATTTTTGTCAGGCAATTAGGAGCTATAACCTGTGAAGTTAAGTTTGATAGGCATTGTAATTGGATTGTTACAGTAATAGCTTAGAACATTCCCTATTTTTTCTTGCTTCTTTGATTCTTGGTGCATATTTCAGTTGTGTGAACAAAAGCATTTTGTTGTTATGAAACTGTAGGACTCTCAAAACAACAAGACAGAGAATGGGTTTTTCTGCTCTCTCATAAAAATAAATACATCCAGTATTTATTGTTTTGTAGCAAGCTTCTGGAAAAAGCTATGGACAAGCTAGATGGCCTTCTCAAGGGGTCAATCTATATTTCCTTTTGGGACAAAGAAAATCCAACCACTCAATAATTTTTATATTAATATATCATTATTAGATACAAACCCTGTAACCTTTAGGATGGTGTAGTACTTTGGAGAGGGCATGGGCACATACAATCTGCA